GACAGGCATACAGAAATATACTTTTGTATCAAATTGTATTCAATAATACTAAACCCATAAACAAGAATTTTGAAAAATCTAAAACGTTTTTCTCAAAATACCAATAAACATAGAAATGTGAATGTTTGAAATATGTAAATTATGTCATTCTGCCTGTATTAATAAATAACTGCTCTGCACCCAGATACACAGTGTGCTTTAGATCTCTCTATATCACAGATATAAAATAACAAAAATTATTCATTTCAAACTATTATAATGCAAAAATCCACCCCACAGACAGATGTATATTCAAACATAACATCTTATTCCATTAATATTTTTCAAAATTGGAATGAGCATGAACTGTCATGCACCAAGTGATGAGCATATTTATGCAGCTAAAAAACTGAGGCTGCCTTTTATAAGATAAAATAAAATAAAACTTATTAACCTACCAAATTGTAATGTTTATTGAGCCAGAATTGTACTGAAAATTTCCTTCTGTCTGAATGACATTTGGGTTGCTCTGAGATCCATCACACTGCTAAGTGTGCCACTGGCATCCTCCCTAATAAAAACTGATCTAGAACTTTATACACTGTACAATATTTGTAATTATTATGTATAATATATAAGAATAAATTTATAATTACAATGTCTATTTCATGTGGTAATTTATAATTAAAGCTATATGTATTAAATCATATTTTTGTCTGATATTTTATACTTCATTTTGTTATAAAAATTAAACACAATTATAGCTCTGATATACGTGTTGCAATATGCGGCTGTTTCTGTTGGACCCCAGACTGATTGGTCAAACTGTACAATAAACAGAATTTTTATCATGTTTAAAATTCGTATGAAATAAAAAATACTTCTTTAATAATATGATTTCATTTTCACGCTGGTCAGACATGCAAATTATTTAACAGATGGCAACTTTTTCAAATGTTTCCTCTTCATTGCATCTTTGTTTCTTGTAAATGTGAGATCTTGCAAAACCATTTGCTGTCTACATTATTGTTAACCATATTTAAACTCAATCTTCAAATCAATTAACAAAAAATGAAACCATAATATGACCTAAGAGAGCATAAAATACACATATTAAAAACTCCATTGTTGTGCCAATAATATCATTTGGCAGAATCATTCTAATATATTCCATGCATTCTAGTACTTATCTTCTAACGTCCCTTCACACACGTAAACAACTTTCAATTCACTCAACTTGTAAATTCTTTGTAACATTTCTGTTCTGAAAAGCATTGCAAAGTAATACGACAGAAAGCTTTTCTATCTTTATAACAATTACAGATCATATTACTTCATACTGTTAAATAAGATTGTTTCATTACATTCACTGAATTCCAACAAAGGCACCGTGAGTGTTGTTCAGTGTCAAAAATATCCTACTGATAACATGGAACCAATAAAAACATGTTTCTTTTTTCACATACAGAAGAATCTGACACCACTCTTTTACATTTCCCATATTGCACTTTCCATTCCACCTGTGTTTGTGACAATTTCTTTATAAAACATTTCATATGCTCCACTCTGACTCACAGCATTGTTATATCTGCTCATTTCCTTAAAGGCTTTATTTAATAATAGGCCCTGTGTAAAGTTTTGCAGGCTCTGATCTTTTAAGCTACAGCAATCTCATGATTAATCTGTGGCAACCATCAGCACAGTAATCTCCTTCAAAATGTAGCCTATAAAACTTAAATAAAACAAACTGTTGCTAAGCCCATTTTATGGTTCTTATTTTTTATGTCTTTCATAATAGTTGACATTTCTCTGGAATTACTTAACCTACAAAACAGCTGATCCAACCAATACGTTAATTTTTGTTAATTTCAATTTTAAAATGTATTCGCTGTAGCAATCTTAGGATTAATCTGTGGCAACAATCAGCACAGTAATCTCCTTCAAAATGTAGCCTATAAAACTTAAATAAAACAAACTGTTGCTAAGCCCATTTTATAGTTCTTATTTTTTATGTCTTTCAAAAACAAACTGTTGCTAAGCCCATTTTATGGTTCTTATTTTTTATGTCTTTCAAAATAGTTGACATTTCTCTGGAATTATTTAACCTACAAAACAGCTGATCCAACCAATACGTTAATTTTTGTTAATTTCAATTTTAAAATGTATTTGTACGTTAGAATTCCAGTTTGTAACAAGAAAATTAATTACCACGAACATAAAGATAATGGAAGCCACACGGCCTTAGCAATAATCTGTTAAAACAGTACAACAAAGAATATTACAGATTCAACCAGGAGAAATGACAATGATTGTTCAGTTAAATGTAGCAGGTAACTCTGACAAAAAATTATGGGAAGACAACTCTGTGATTACGAAAGATCAGCTTCAAATTACAGTTTCAAGGTCAATAAAAGTTATTAGTGTTCCATGAATTGCTCTGACACTCATTCAGTGTCAGGAAAAACATTACAGAATTCACGTCCGTGGAAAAGAAAGAATTTTATTGATATTATGTGCCCATATAAAAATCCAAATCATATCTCACTGTGGGTGTCTGTAGGGCTGGGCTATAATTTAAGTCAACTTCCCATGATTTAATTGTTATATTTTTATTTAGCTTATTTCTGCAATGAATTTTCTGTACAATTTTCCAAATAATTTACCGTGATGTACTGGTGTTCCGTTACGTTCAATAGTTTTACTATAACTCAAGAACTGGAATTCAAAACTCCAATGAACAAATACTATAAAAAAATTGTTTTAATAAAGTACTTAACATCATAAAACTTACATCAAACTGCATTCATTGGCATTTTTGATTTACATTTAATATTGCTCTATTTAATATTACAGACATGTGATGGCACTTGAACAATATGTATTTTATCTTTCACTGTCTCACGCCCATCAACTTCACCTCCTACTCCAGTAAATATGGTTCTATCTTCCCTTTTGCTGACAGTGTGTAGAAATGTATCTTGAAAATTAGAACAAGTACATCTTCAGGAAAAGAGTCATTACATTCATCCAAGTTAATCCAAAACTGGTGACATGCAGTCTGTGAGACCACAGCTGAAGAAATATATTTTTCTTTCAATTTATATAGACTGCTTTGCAGTGTTCTGCTGTTCTTAGTACCTTCTTATCTTTTGCTTATATGTCTACTTGTGTTTCCTCAGTCATTCAATGCTGTATGCATCAAGAAATTTAGCAGATGTTGGGGGGACCTCATGTTGCTGGTTATGTGGCTTTCTGTGTATCCACAATTGTTTTTATTGTGAGTATACGTGTGAGAACTTCAAAGCGGGTTACACCTCATGATACCAATTTTGTAAAAGTGTTGGAGCGCCTGCAAGAGGGTTTCGGTGATGTCGAAAGGGAAAGCGAATGTGCAATTGAACGTGATCGCAACGGGGAATGTGCTGAGGCAGAATGACAAAATCAAGACGTTTACCCACCCCAGATTTTCACTCAAACAATCTGATGTTTCTTCATGTATCAAATTAAAATGTATCACTTTGTTCAGAATTCTTAACGAATGAGCAAAAAATTTATACCCGTTCCGAAATGCACGTTTCTCTTCACGTGGATCCTGCATATGTTTTTTAAAACATTAAGAAAATATGCTAAATATTTTATTTTAAGAGTTATTGTGATGTACAGACCATGTGGTGTTAGATTTTAAAATTCTCTTGCATACCAAATTAACCTGGGAACAAGACGGGACTACCAAAACTCAAGTGGTCTGTCAGACCTCATGTCACTGTTTGCACAACAGAAAACTCACATCACTTGTCCATATTAAAACATGTCACACATAGAAGCTATAGATCATGACTAATATGCATGTTACATGTTTCAATTTGTCCAATGTCGTGCCCCGGCCACACTTTACCCCCAGGGAAAGGTTCCCAGTACCCACTGGAGGCTCGTCTGGACGCAGAGGCTAGAAGAAAAATCCTCTGCCCGTCATAGATTGAACCTGTCGTCAAGCCCGTAGCCAGTCGCTATACATACTGAGCTACCCCATCTCGTGTCATACCCTCAGCAAGATATTAAACTGCATCAATAATTTCAATAACTAGTTTTCAGTCAGAAAGACAAGCATTAGTTGTGCTTGTCTACTTTCACAGTGAACCAAACTTTTTTCGCGACATTTTATGTGTCAGAAGTCGGTTTGTTGCGGGACATTCATCTGAGGCTAACAGGACTTAGTACCATTTAGCAGCATTGACTCTGATTCCTTTTTTTGGGCATTTCCAAGTTGGAAGGCTTTGGATTATTATGTTGCATGTCATGTACGTTTACCGCCAGACATTTAAATGCTAATTTAGACTCTTCGCCCACGCAACTGTGGCTAAACACAGATCAGCACATGTAAGCGAAAAACATGTGTTCTGATGCTTTAAGCTTCCACAGTAATCCATAAAGAATTTATGGCAATTGGAGAACATCTACTGAAGGAAAGACAAAATATTTTGAGCCAGGAGAGCACGCTCACTTGAGCTGACGCTGAATCTATTAAATTCACACAGACCTGACCACATTGTCCAAGCACCACTAATGTTGAATGACAATGTATTTTCATAATTTCTGATCAATCCAAAAGCACTTGAAAGGTATTTTCAACACGTGCGCCTTAAATGTTTTTATCACAAATGGCAGTGTTTTGCAGAATACAACCTGGCACCTAGTGTTTGAATGCGCACATACCGGTCAAGCTGTTAAAACACGTGACAGGCAGGCGATTTAAGAGCCGGTATTCTTTATTTATGTTCTAGACTTAGTGGCAAAGGACAGTTTAACATTATTACCACTAAAAATCTTTCTTCATGGTTCAAACTTGAAAAGTTTTATCTAATTTCCAGAATTCAGTCTCTGGATGTCACACAGTGGTCAGGCAGACGCGTTGCGAGCTAAACTTTGAAAAATACTGATCTAGGCAGAAATAATCAGTTAACGAGAGAGGTAGGAAGAGAGCAACATGTCCACCATCTAGTGGACTAGATTAAATCCGACTGCTAAGCCAATAGCTAGGCAGAAATATTGTACCGAGTTTGTTGCTTTCACAGTTAAATTCATCAGAACTAACAAACCAGGATACGGAGTTTCATGTCCGATGCAAACCACAGATGACAATTTGGTTCCCCGCTGAATTGCGTCTTGTAATTTTGGTAATTCTCAAGAATACTCATGACTACTGTCGGACAATGCCCATTGTTTTTGGCCCTGCACTTGATCTAATCTCCGAATCTTGTGCACGCTTTCTTCCACTTGCACTGGGTGCACCATTGTTCTCGATGTTCCATTCCATAAACCTTACGACACTTCTTTGTTTCGCCTCGCAGTTTCCTGGTCGGACTTCCGGGCAGTTTGTTGGGTGCTGACAGTGACAGAAGCTGACTGCCATTGGACTGGTGTTGTATCTGGCCGCCCGTTCGTGGGCTGAGTTTCAGGTGCTTCTGAGGTGAGCTCTGTTACATAGAAAAACCATGTTACTTGCTGTGATGAAGTGGACAAAGAACAAAACTGGGATAACTATCTTCATTATAGAGTTGAGTGACCAATCAGCATAAAGAGGTCTGCTGATAAGCAGCACGCACCTAGTCTGTTCTGAAGCTGCATGACCGGAGTATCAGCAGCCAAATTGCACTGTTGAAAGACTCATCCTGTTCTTCGCATGATATTGCAACCTTATTTTCTGACGGAGAAGAAATGCATGGAGTTTTATAGCAAAGCTCACAAATTAATAAACTGACTGATTCTATGGCGCGACAGTCCAAAACCGAGTCTTGACTCCTCCCACGTGGGAGGTTTCTTTGTCTTTTGAAGTGTGCATTTTATGAGTAGCGAGTGACAAGCCCACCGTCTCTGCACAAATTCTACTCACGCCTGATTTGACTGCCAGAGCCATCTAGCAACGAAGCAGTGAATCAGGTGAGACTTGGATGAGAAATGGCCGGGTTTGAACCCGCGAATCTTGGGTCCAGTAGCGAGCACGCTAACCGCTAGTCCACCGAGGGCAACCAAATTAATCTCCAGTATTCGTGAAGTACTTGACCTCTGAAAAGTTGGTAAACTTCTACCTGAATAACATATCTCAGTTTTTAGGTTGTCAGCTTCTCCTGGCCACCAGTTTGTGTCAAGTTGTGACAAAACATAACGTTAACCGAAGAGACACAAACTGTAACAGTAATTTCCATAATAAATAACTGAAACTGAGATATGTTCTGATATTCACCTATTTCATATGTAAATTCTTACAAATCCTATCAAACCCTATAATTTAATAAACAATATTACAGCTTCCACCTTTGCATTTAACTCTTAAAACAATTATCCTGCTGCGTGCGCTCAGGGGGATAGAAGGTATAGCGCCTACTCATTCTTGACCTCGGCACTAGATGGGGTGAGTGGTCATCATCACGCCCCGGCCGGCTTTACCCCCGGGAAAGGACCCCGGTACCCATTGTAGAGGAGACTGGGTGTGCCCCAGAGCCGGTCTGGACGCAGAGGCTAGAGAAAAAATCCTCTGCCCCGGGGATCAAACCCCGGTCGCCCAGCCCGTAGTTGGTCACTATATTGACTGAGCTATCCCGGCTCATCTTTTTAACTCTTATAACTACCAATTCAGTTTGTGAAGGAATTCAATGGTCATAAAGAAGACGATAAAAAACATACTCACAGGAGAAGTGGCAGTGGTTGGTGACGACCAAGGTAGACTTCCTGATGGAATGTTAATAGGACCTGCTCTCTGGTGTCCAGCTGTGAAACCATTTTTCAGCTGTTTCAGGTACTCTGGATCTGAAATTTACAAGATTCATTTAACCTACATTCGTAAATTAAAATATTCTCAGAGCTCAGAAATACACGTGCATTTGAATGTACCTTGTAATTTCTTCCAGTGAACACTCCCTTTGGGGAAGAGTAAGTCTTTATTTGGAACATTAAAACACGTCAGTTATTAACTCCCAAGTAAAATCCAAATCTTCATACAGAATGAACGTAATACTGCTACTAAGTGACACGGTCAGATTTACTATAGCTTATTTGCTTCCCTGTCTCTGCCTGTCTCTACTCTGGTAGAATGTTTTCTTATGAAAAATAATATTTAGAATTCCTATAAGTTATAAAGCAAGTTTGGGTGCGAAACATGGTCTCTCACTCAGAAGGAGGAACACAGATTGCAGGTGTTTGAGGAGGATATTTGTGCCTAGGAGAGAAGACGATGGGGTCTGGAGGAAACTGCATAATGACGAACTTAAAAATCTGTACTCCTCCCTCAGTATTGTCAGGGTGATTAAGTCGAGAAGAATGAGATGGGTTGGGCATGTAGCGCGCATGGATGGGACAAGAGGTGTGCACCGGGTACTGGTTGGGAAGCCTGAGGGGAAGAGACCTCTGGGGAGACCTAGACGTAGATGGGAGGATAATGTCAGGCGGGATCTATGGGAGATAGGAGTTGAAGGAGACTGGATTTTGTTGGCCCAGGACAGGGTCCGGTGGAGGGCTTTTGTTACTTCGGTGATGAACCTTCGGGTTCGATAAGCCATCTAGTTAGTTATAAAGCAAGTTAAAAATATAGTTCAAATTGGGAAATACGACTCACCATTTTACACAAATGTTTCAGTATGTTTTCAGACATATTTCTATAAAGAATGAATCAACTAAAAATGTTACAGATAAAAGTAGTAGTAACTAATGGGGTAGCATATTTCACATTATGAATATCAAACATGTATCGTGCCATTTTGTGATATGCTGTACATGCTGCCAAACTTGTTTAACAAAGTGTTACCTTCATGTGGAGGTCTGGCCATGTCACGATGTGACAACGTTGGAGGAGAAGATGTCTGCGGCCCTAGTTCTACTTCTGTGTAGTAGAATTCTTCTTCATGATCGCTCAACTCCAAATCATTCTCTGTTGTCTCACGAGGACTAAAATGAAAAAATAAATAAATAAAGAATGCTAAGATGGCTGTCTTCTGGCTTGTTGCACCATCTAGTCTGGTAGAAGTTTACCGACGTTTCAGAGGTCCTTACTGTCTCCATCATTATCGCCCTGAATCGTAGGTAAACTTGTACCAGACTAGATGGTGCAACAACCCAGAAGACAGCCATCTTCATAGCAGTCGCTGTGAAGACATAAACTCACACAAAAAGAATGCTTCTTTGAATTTATCACATACAAATTTATTCTTGTAGCAAATATAAAAAGAACTTTCTAAAAAAGCTATCAGTTATATGCAGAGTCCTGTAAATCTTTGATAAGTTTAGGTTCAGTTATGTTTGGTTAGGTTTGGTCAGGTTTGTTTAGGCTAGGTTAATTGAGGTAAGCCAGGCTAGTATTGTTTAGGCTAAGTTAAATTTGGATAGTTTCGGTCACGTCAGGTTGATTCAGGTTGTATCAGGTCCGGTGAGGTCGTGTGCATCATGGAAAATGAAGGTGTGATTGTGTAGTAGAGGACTTGTTAAAACAGTAATTTCCTTGTAGGGATTTCGTTTATAAGAAGAAAATTAAATAGGCAGACCAACCCCTTTTCTTACAAAAACAAAAGGAAAAAAAACAATCAAAGAGCAGGTTACACAGTTTTTTTTTAATTCTGATTATAAAACTGAGCTTCAAGAATTATATTCTAAGCCGAAACGTCTGTGACTCACACGGAAATGAAGTATCAAAAGAAACAAATAAAGGTAAGTTCAGTAATCACGAACAATGTTTTCGTATTGTATATTTCCTTCCTCTTTTATTACTTCCTTTTATCAAGCTGTTGTTAAAATTTGCATAACTGCCTTGTGTATGTATAACCTCAATTTCCATATTTTTCATGGTTCCTTCCCCTCACCCCTTTAAGGGATTTGACTAACACTTTTGAAGTCACCTTCTGCCACTACCATAGACTTTTCATTCATACCTCGGTTGTATACACAAATTATACTGAATGTACAATAATTTAATAATGTAAGACTCAGATTTATACTCGACAATTACCGGATCTCCAACGCAAACGAGTTCACAGAGAGTGTAGTTAAGATCTGCATAATCAGTGATCATCAAATTCGTTGGCCATTCGTAACAACTTAATTATAGGTTAACATTGCTCATGAAAATTTGTTGGTAGCCCTGTAACTTCTACCGGACTACACGGAGATATAAACCCAGAAGACAACGGCCTTCACGCTCGATGTCGTGACAACCTGTAATCGTACACAACCAATCACTTTCTTACTCATGTAACAACTTACCCCAGATGCACCTTGCGAACATGACCCTCGATGGCAGCACACGTCGTGGTGATAACACGACAACCAGGCCACCTGCACTGGAACACAATTCGACTTGCCTGTACACAAACAGAATATTCATGTTAAGCCACACGATATACGACTCGACAGCAAAGCGGGATTATTGAAAACCTGTCACTTCATCCTTATGCCTGTAATTTAACCGTCTCATTCTAATGCTTCCAATTACGGTATTTTAAACTTTCTAGCCTTGAACACTAGCGAGCTGTAGGCATGAATTGATTACTTGTACGACTGACTGTAGGACAAAATTCTGTTTATTTTTGACTGATAGGGTGATGAAGTTCAGAGGGGTAATACATGGCGTAGCTCCGGTATTCCCCAAATTTACATGATTTTGAGTCAGCAAGACCGTATAAATAAGTTTTTCTTTGAATTTTGTAGAAGAAAGAATAAGAAAGTCGTGTTTACACAGTTTTAAAGACAAAATGGTGCCAAGTCAGTCATTAACATTTCACATACTTCCTTAAACATTTACAGAGGAAATGGTTAATGCTACAAAGGGTGTAAATGATGAATGAGCATGTGATCAGGATGTCACGTGCCAAGGTATATTTTATAAATGTTCGATGAATGAAGAAGGCAAAATTGTGGTTGAAATTATTGATGAGAAGTGGCTTTGGGCTATCAGCTACCACGTAAACGACGTAATGTCTAACTTCAAGATCAAAGAAACTCATTTCCTATATGTTTGGGGCTGTTAGGTTTTCAAATGATGCTGAAACTGTTTTTGAAACAGCTGAAAAATGTTAATATCTGCCATTTTCCCCCCATGATTTGCTCTAAAATGATGGATAAGTAAGTGTTTCCTTTACATGTGGCCGTTCCGTAGAAATTATTGATTCCTTGGCTAAAGATTTCAAAATGATTCAATGACTTCCGTACAGATACACGTCTTTGAAACCGCATTCTCCGTTGAAGTCAATTGTTTCGACTAGGATGCTTTAATTAGTTTTTCTATGCTTGTTCATCAATCCTTCAGTTCTCTGAGTTACGTAAGTTAGCACGAAATTGGCAAGTGTTTTTGGCAGCACATACAAACATGTGAACAAACCTTTTCAAGTATGAAACAAAAGAAATCGAAGTTCCGTTCAAGAATTGCCTGCGTGCACTTGCATGACGTAATGTGAACTGGCATCTTTTTTTTAAAACAAATCTCTTGCGGGGCAAACACAAACCCAAAGTTTCACGATAATAAGATAAATTTAGGCTATTTTGATTGTAATGTTAAATTTTGTGTGTTGATAACGATTAAGATTTTGAATATTTTAATATTTTCCGTCAAATCACAATTTTAATAAGATAATAAAATATTTAAAATATCATTTCACGTTCCGCATCGAATGATCGATTTACAAATTGGAACGTTCTGTTACGACATGTTTTGGTTATATTTAACCGTCCTCAGGTATAAATTAGATTGGTAAATTAGAACTCGAATTACAATCATTTACAATGTTAAATTTAAATTTACCAATCTAATTTATACCTGAGGACGGTTAAATATAACCGAAACATGTCGTAAGAGAACGTTCCAATTTGTAAATCGATCATTCGATGCGGAACGTGAAATGATATTTTAAATATTTTATATATTTTATTATCTAATTAAAATTGTGATTTGACGGAAAATATTAAAATATTAACCTTATTCACAATATGACGCAAATATACTACCTTAAGATTTTGAATGTTCTAGCCCTTGTAGCACATTACATTTTTCAATGTGGCCCGTTTGTCGCTTCTGATGTAGAACAGTCACTTCCATAATAAAATGACCCAAAATACAGACAAATAAATAAATCCCTCTGCCTGAAAATTTAAGTAGGCTTATCACTGACATTAAATCGTAACAAAGATTCGGAGAATAACTGCGCGCATTTAAATCATGTCCACTTGTATTAATTTTCTTTAAGACACAAAGTGTGGCGTGTTACTATTTCATTTGACTACGTACATGTTTTGTGATGTCACCATGACAATCAGTAACGCTGATACAAAGACCATTGTCTTTACATCTTCAAATTTCCTCTATTTGCCTTCAGTATCCATTCATTACATATAGTGCCAAGCAGAGGTTCACTGAGGAACAAACATTCGACAAAAACCATTACGTACTTGGGGACATTGTGTTATTTCAATGAGTATCGCCTGCGTGTCGTAGCTGCAGCGAAGCAAAGCCAAGATCTGTTTGTGCTCCGATAGCGTTCCAGTCCAGAATGGTTAGGGGTGGGGTGAGTTTTGGAACTGCACGTGGCAGATATTGATCCAGTGGGTGGTTAGTAACAAACCAGCTGAAGGGGGTGGTGGATGGTATTTTTGTCGACTGTGCATTGCAAGTGCAACGGTCCTGAGTAGAGGAATTAAGTTTTATTATATCGCCTTCGAAGGAAGCTATTTCATGCTACGATAATATTCGCTTCTTGTGTACATCTATTAACTATATAAATTCACTAATCACCTCAGATTCTAACGACATCGCGTTTTCTTTTTAATTCTGGTACAGATTTAACAATTATATCGAACATGAAAGCATATCAACCGCGTCTCTTACATCCTCGGATTAGTTTGGGGCACCATAGTCGATTCCAGGGTGCCAACAAGTGGCTTTCTTCAGTAGTTGTATATCGTATAGAAAAGCATCCATTATTTATCATTTCATCACACATTTTGTGTAAATTATAACTTAATAATAATAATAACAATTGAAACAAGGCCGAGACGAGTTACCAGGTTTATTTGAACTCAATAACGATCCACCTCATTTCATCCAATCAGAGCAAGGCATTTACCTTCAAATAGGGCAAACGTGTAACACTATCATTTCAAAATTGTAACTGCTATAGGTTATCAGATAAAATCGTATAATTTATTGTTATTGCAGAGTACAACGGGATCTGTTTTAATGTAAAAATGTTTGTTCATTTTGTTAAAGACAAGCAATCTTCATCACTGCAAGTTTATGATGAAGGAATTAAGGTTAGAATCTGCTTACATACCTGATATCTAAGAAGGAGGTTGTTTTCCTTTCTTAGGATAAAAAGTGGACTTGCAAGGTAACCATGTCGAAAAATGAAAGTGTTGATGCAGGCATAGTGACATATTTTGGGTGCAATGCACTTTCCTTACAAGGTTTTATTAAAATAACCGCTGACATTTTTTAAAAGTGGATGATAATTTGTATTGAATCCAAGGGAAGCTGTTTCTGATAAGGAAATAAAGCTAAAAAAATGCCCTATGACACCACCCCCTCCCCCGCCCCAATTATAACTTGCGGAAGATATTTTATGTTATTAGAAGTTCTGGAATCGTATCTAAAACCTCTTGACGATGGTGAAGAGTCAATTGAATAAAAATTTTCTTGGATATTATCCATCGTCTAGTAAATATAAAACGTAAAACGACGTTTCGGAGATGGGA